TAGGCTAGGATGGACGAAGAATCTGGATGCGCTCTGACGTGTAATCTTGCCCCCTTTTGATTGGGATTCGGGCACTTTGTCTGGATGATTTGGCTGTTGTTGCCGGTGTATTTGTGTGTGTGTGTGCTAAGCTTCCAAGTTGTAATTTTGGACGCTGGTGCTGGAGTGTGGACGTGTGTGTGTGGCCTCGTAGTGGGAATTATGGCCGTCCGCTCGAGTGTGGCTGGGTGTAGTCCTTCTCGTACTGGCTTTGTCGCCGGTCTTGACGCGGGCGTATATTTCGCCGACGGGCACTTAGCGTTACTTTTTATATCGTTAGCGCGACCCGGGTTTAGCAAAAATGTCATACAGGAACGTCTGTTTTTTTTGTAATTTAAAATTTTACTTTTTATTTTTAAACTTTTATTAATTCGTTTTTGACGAGTAAAGGCCTCCGCGTTTGAGCAACTCCGGCTTTCAATATTGACTTGTTCAAAAGAATCACGCTTCAGGCTTCTGCCAGGTATTTAAACATTTTTTTCAGCCTTTGTTTTGTTGCGGTGCTTCTTCAGTTATCCTTTTGTTTACGCTCACACACATCCACACGCGCCTAGTTCAGCCAATAGCAAGATCGCTCCATCCAAATCACGACATCGAACATGTTGCATTGCACCCGCTGTTATGACTTTGGATTTTCCACACGGTTATAAGTGGTTAGTTTTATTTTGTTTACATAGAAGTTCTTTTGTTAACAGAATTTCACCGTAGCTCTTAAGTGGTGATTCGAAAAGAGTGCCTTTTTTTGTTTTGCTTAGAATATATATATGGGGCATTTCACCTCAAGTGACCCAACATTTGAAATCGATGTCTTCCGATCGGGATGAAATTTGCACCAAGGTTAGTCCTAATAAATAGTAGTTACGTCACAAAATTTCAATGGGATCGGTCAAACACACTCCGAGTTGGAGGGTCTAGAATTTTGACATTTTGGTCAAACGGCCGTTTTTTCGGATCCATATAACTAATTACCTATTGTATATAGAAAATTTTTCAGGAATGTTTTCGATAGATTTCTCTTCAGTCTTTTAAAATTCTATTTTTGTTAGTTAAAATAAATTTTTTTGAAAATTTTTTTTTTAAATAAAAAATAATTTTTAAGTTTTTTCAAAAAGGGGTATTTTTTTAAATTTCTTTTGCTCAAAAGAAAGCTTAGGTATTTTTCTTTAAGAGCTTTGTGGTCGCTTAGTGGGATGCGACTTGTTTATCAATCAAAATTAGCGTTTAGTAACTCGCAACAGCGGTTTTTTTAATTTTTAATATATGACCTATTGTCTTATTTTTTCGTATTATTGTGTAAGTGTTTCTTAAACCTGAAAATAAAACTTATATGAGAAAGTATATACAATTACATTTTCAACGGTATATAATATGCCTAACCAAAGTTTCATACCCTCAATACTGCAATTCCCGTATTTAAGGATGATTAAGATTTTTCGTAGTCTAACACAGCAGGTACTCGATTTTGTGCATCCAAACATTTTATTAATAGCTTTGCAGAATTTTGAGCATTAGATTTGCATACCTACTAGCACAATATTTAAAAAAGTATGAAGAATATGGGATTTTCCGGTAGTTAAGGATGATTAAGATTGTTTCTTTTTTGCTCAAAAGAAAGCTTAGGTATTTTTAAGAGTTTTGAGGTCGCTTAGTGGGATGCGAGTTGTTTATCTATTAAAATGAGCATTTAGTAACTCGAAACAGCGTTTTTTTTTAATTTTTAATATATAACCTAAGTGTTTCTGAAACCAGAAATTAAAACTTATATAAAAAATTAGATACAATTACCTTTCCAACGCTATATAACAAGCAACTAAAGTTTCATACCCTCTACACTATAATACCCACAATATGTACACCTCTGGAATAAAATAACTGTTTTTCTATAGAATTGGTGAAAATTTTTAATTTTTGTATTTATTTAGAATAGTTTTTAATATATAATTTAATAAATATATACATAAAAAGTCTACAAGATAGTTAATTTTCTAATAGCCAGCCTTCCATCCACCTTATTTTCCACCTTTCTTTGTGGCTTTTTTCGTCAATCCTGGGTCGTCATTACTGGGTTCTGCTGTTGATTTCACTCCGGGTGTCGCTTTTGGAAAGAAATCACATTGGGGAGAGGACGAAAAATTCTTTAACTTGAGCCTTCTATCGCCAATCGGTATGAAAGCATGATATTGAGCGGTACCATCGGAATGCAGCATCGAATCTGCTCTTCAGTGATATCGCAGTTTCCGCATGATCATCTTTGCTACTAAACATTATTTCAGTTTCTTTACAATAATTCTTTGCCCACCGGAATAAAGCTATCGCATCTATGATATGAGCTCGTTATTGAAATAGAATGCTTGTATGGCATCCTGGATAAAATATTTATAGTTTTCTGCGAAATCGTATGAAATAACGAATTCACCTGCCTGCAAATGTATCTTCAAATTTTCGAAGAATGACCGCTGCTCCTTGACTAGAAAGTCGTGGGTTATCAAGTTTACCAATCCGGTACAAATTTATTCCACAAAATCGTCCACACTTAAGATAACTGTTTTCAATGTGCACCTTTCAGACTGCAGCCAAGATTCAAATTTGACCTCCTCCACAAATTCTCGGTCAAAAGACTTGATCAAATTCTCTTAGATGAACGTAGTTCCCGTGCAATTTGAGCATTCACCCAAGTGGCAAGAAGTTGATACATTAGGACACATTGTCAATTTAAGGCAATCACGGTAACTGTTTAAATCTTCCGGCGAATCATTTGTTAAATAATTCAAGTTGATTTCCTTCAACATCAGCTTCACATTTTCATGATAAATGCAAACGCATACTGTATGAGTTCCGATGCTTTCTGCCAAGACGCAATGTTTTGGCCTGAGCTGGGTAAAATTTGTGAATCCAATTTTAATATCCTCGTGTTCGGATTGAAAGCTCGCGAATAGCTCATTCAGGTTGCAGAGAATTATCCTCTTCTGCATTTGAATTTTCTTACCGTCAATTCGTCCAGACACCCAGTCTTTCATCCCTGGCATCAGGCGACTCATATCATCGCGCTGATAAAACTGAGTCACTAGAGCTTCAGTTTTGCACTTTAAAGGTTTTCCTTTTTTTGTGTTTGGGAGTGTGAGTATGCCATGCTCTGCAACTAATTTTTTAGCAATCCTGGCTTTTCTTTCTGCGCTTTTTCTAAAAAAGTGGTCTTCAGAATGACCATACACTGCCTTCATAAACTATAGCTGATTTATTATAGCTACTTATAGGTTGCGCGAGTAGGTATGCATATCTATTGAGAAAGGGTTTGCACGAATCTGCTGTGGTTAGGTACAAAGCAAAATCTTAATCATCCCTAACTACCGGGAAATCCCATCTTCTTCATACTTTTCAAATATTGTGCTAGTAGGTATGCAAATCCAATACTCAAAATTCTGCAAAGCTATTAATAAAGTGTTTGGATGCACAAAATTAAATACCTGCTGCGTTAGACTACGAAAAATCTTAATCATCCTTAACTACGGAAATTGCTGATCGAGGGTATGAAACTTTGGTTAGGCATGTTATATACCGTTGGAAAGGTAATTGTATATACTTTCTCATATAAGTTTTATTTTCAGGTTTCAGAAACACTTACACAATAATACGAAAAAAAAGAACACAATAGGTCATATATTAAACATGAAAAAAACCGCTGTTTCGAGTTACTAAACGCTAATTTTGATTGATAAACAAGTCGCATCCCACTAAGCGACCACAAAGCTCTTAAAGAAAAATACCTAAGCTTTTTTTTGAGCAAAAAAAAAATTAAAAAATACCCTTTTTTGAAAAAACAAAAATTATTTTTTATTAAAAAAAAATTTTCAAAAAAATTTATTTAATTAAAAAAAAAAATAAAATGTGTAAGGACTGAAGATATATCTATCGAAAACATTCCTGAAAAAAAATTTCTAAAACAATAGGTAATTAGTTATATGGATCCGAAAAAATGGCCGTTTGACCAAAATGTCAAAATTCTACACCCTCCTCGGAGTGTGTTTGACCGATCCCGTTGAAATTTTGTGTCATAACTACTGTGTTATAGGACTAACCTTGGTGCAAATTTCATCCCGATCGGAAGACATCGATATCAAAAGTTGGGTCACTTGTGGTGAAATGCCCCATATATAAACACATGTTCATACATATACATATATAAATGTATTTACTGGTATATATGTAAATACATGCATTCATATTCGATCGGCTGTCGTTACAAATCTCCTTCATTACTCCTGCATTACTTGTCAACTAGTTTCAAGTTAGCTTTTTGTAGATAACTACAACTTATATGTTTTATAGAAATCTCGCAAAAAGCTAACTACAAGTGAGTTATTTTTTATCAATTGATAATTTTTTTCTGCAGGGAAATGAACTATAAAAACTACAGAACTAGTTCACTAAGGTGAACGAACTACAACTGAATAGTTCACTCAAAAGAACTAAAGTGCCCAGCTCTATTGAGTATTAATTTTTAGCACTATTGTGTAAATCATATATCGTCGGTACCCTGTCATACTATCGAATGTGAAAATAGGTATTTTTTAGGAGCAAAAAAACTTTAGTAAAAAATGTTGTTGTCATTAGGAAAAAGTGTGGGATTTGCCAACTTGCGTTTCATTCTTAACGCATGGGCAAGGTATCGTAATTGAAAAGCATTATTGCACATTCGATAGTTTGAAATGGTAGCGACGATATAACAACCAACTTCGAATTTAACATAGGCAGGTAACGTTTTTACGTACCTTTTTTACCTGCCATGAGCAAAAGGGCCATCAATCAAGCAAGCAGATATTCATACATTCTCAAACACATAACTCTGCTTATTTTCCAAATTTTGTTACTTCCAAAATAAGATAGGTCCTACCTATTTTATTTTAATTTATTTTCTAGTCGAATTCTTACATTAACGTTTATATTTTAATTAATATTTTCAGTTAAACCAGACAGGCATATCCACACTAGGAAAATTACAAACGGATCAGCACTTTTTGATTGAAAATAACTCGGCGATGATATTCTCCACTGCCGCTGTATCTTCAACTACGGTTGTAGGGGGCCCTTCAATAGTATCTCAAATACCTGTCATATTTGAACCAGCCCTAACTGTTGAGAATAAAATTCCAATTAATAGAATTCAACCAAAGAAAAAAGAAGTCAAAAGATCTGCTCACAATGCTATTGAGCGACGCTATCGAACTTCAATAAATGAAAAAATTTCCGAGCTTAAGAGTTTGATAATAGGAGAATCGGCAAAGCTCAACAAATCGGCTATTTTAAGGAAATCAATTGATAAAATACGAGATCTTCAACAACAGAATTCTGAAATGCGTATTGAAATACAGAGACTTCAGAATGAACTGTTAAATCAGAGCAGTTGCAAAGTCAAAAGTTTACTAAACTCAACATTTAATGGCAAAACTAAAAGAATAAATATTGATTGTGTCAATAAAAACTGCAAAAACATTTTCAGAGATGAGGTGCTACCACCCAATAATAAGATAATTATCACCCCACCGTGTAGTGATGAATCGAACTCTTCGCAATCACCAACTCATTCTGATATTTCTTTGCCGTACTCTCCATCTGAAGCATCTACCGCAAGCATAAATTCGTGTAAAATAAAGCGTGTGTCAACAGCTATTCGTGATGTATCTAATTCACGACTTACTTTATGCGTCTTTATATTCGCTTTCATAGCAATAAATCCGTTCCGGATATTGCTATCAAATAGCACCAACACCTTTGGCTTTTACGAAGTGGACGACGGGATTGATGGAGTCACCCAACGTCGAGTTTTAAACATCAAAGATGGAAGTAAGTACATCAATTTCATTGATTTTTATACCCGAGAGCACTTGTGCACAAGGTTTTGTAACTTTAAATTTTTATAACTAAAATTTTTTAAAAATATAGTACACCATATCTTTAAGTCAAAGTTGTGGACAATTCAGGAAAATTTAAAAAAATTTCCAAAAAATTTCAGCGAAATTTTTAGAAACTTATTGGATACTAGCTGGCTATCGTTGGCCGAGGTTGCCCAACGCCCGTCAAAATATGCAAAAAAAGTCGAAGGCTTAGTATTTAGACTGTCCTGTAGCCCAACTTATGAGGCAACAGCTGCAACTGGTTTCACCAAAGCAAATTAACTGAAACTTCAGTCTATTTAAATTTGAATTAAGAAAGTTTTATTATATGCCAATTAAGAAGTGCATTTGCAAAAATATCATTAATTTAATGAAGGAAATTTTTGCACATACTGCAGTACAAAGCACGCACTTAGGCGCCTAGTATTAGGCACTACAACAACAACAACAGCAGTCGCTCCTAAACAACTTATCTTAATTGGAACGAAACGTTTCTAGAAGACTTTTCTTTCCTTTTACTTAAGACTGGATCCATTTCAAATCGTGCAGGCAGTCCGATGGTATGTCGAGAACTAACTTCATTATAAAATATGTTTTTCTGCTTGAAAAATAAATTAACACGTATTATTTTTTAATTTTCATAGCATTACTTTTACATTTTGAAGATTTCGTAAAGAAAATAATTTTGTGGCATTTTTTTTAAACCTTGATGTTTTCTTAATTTTTGAGCTATTTGGCTGCTGCAAAAGTAAGTACCCCATATTTTGTACTTTTTTAAAAGTGATCAATAATACGATATTATGAAAAAACAAAAAAACTTTCTCACATTTGCCGATCATTAAGTACCCTGTAGTCAAATGAACTCGTTGTAAACTACCTCACAACTAGTATGAACCGCATGCCCAACTAGTCAGCCAACTATCTTTTTTCTATGCAATCAACTGGTATTTTTAACATGGGGATGTCCTATGAGATGGCAATTGTCAGATTTCGGTCAGAAATATACCAGTCACATACTAGTTCAAAATAGACAGAAAAATGCTAGGCTAATTATGGACCAAAATCACTACTTTGGGAGTCAAAAAATAAAATAAATTCATGAATATACAATAAAAAAAAATACTATATTTTTATCTTTCTTAAAAATATTGAATATGCAAAAGGAAACATTTTAGTTAAAAATAAAATGAATTCTTTTGATCATTTTTGAGGTAACTAAAATAAAAAGAAAAGTTTTCATTAAAAAAAATTAAATTCATTAACATTGCACATTTCAGTCTATTATTTTTAAAAATTTATAAAAGTAATAATTAATGTTTGAAATTTGAGATTTGGATAAGAATAAAATAAATAAATAATTCAAGCAGTTATTAAATATTCTTAATTTTTGTCTATAGTTTGGCTTGTTGATTGGTAATAGAAATTTATCAAATCAAATTTTTTAATCGTGTAAATAAAAAAAGTCAAAGATAATTGAAAATGATTAAAAATAACAAAATAGTGAGTAATTAATGAATTAATTAACATTTTGTTTAAGTAATTAATTATTACTCATTAAAAAGGTGGTAATAACGGTATTTGATCATTGAACGGTTATCCAAATAAACATGCTTTAATTAAAAATCATTATGATTAATCATTATTTAACAGGACTGGTATAATTGAATACGTATTCGATTTAATGGTTTACAATATACCAAAATAAAAGTTATAATATTTTGTGTACTTGTGTATTGTCGAAGTCAAATAAAACGGCATGAATAAATCATTTTGTACTTGGGATAAGTCTGGTCATTTTCGAACTAGTTCGGTCTCTGTCAGGGAATTCTAGTTGTAAACTAGTATTTTTCCTGACTAGTTTTGGATTTCACTGCAGGGTACCGCCGCCGAAGAAGTATTTGGATTTCAGTGAGCCCGAAAGAACAACTGGTACGATGAGGAATGTTGGGCGCAACGCGAACCATGTGGTATTTGCCGCAATAAGAAGACACAGGAGAGGCCGAAATATGTGAGTGTGAAGAGCTTGAGATGCTGGCCGACAGGAAAAACGCCCGAAAATTTTACCACAAGATTAGGCGACTACAGAAGGTTTCAAGACCAGGGCGAACTCCTGTAAGAACAAAAATGGCGACCTAGTGAACGATGTGCAGAATGTACTTAAATTGTGGCGGGAACACTTTTCCACCCTAATGAATGTTAGCAGCGCTGAAATTAGTGGAGAAGACAAACCCCTGCGCCCAGTCGATGACGATGGAGTCGATGTTCCACCACCTGGCCATGGCGAGGTACGAATAGCGACAACGTGCTTGAAAAACAACAAAGCTGCTGGAGCTGACAGCCTGCCAGCTGAGCTATTCAAGTACGGCGGCGAGGAGTTGATAAGGTGCATGCATCAACTCTTATGCAGAATATGGTAAGATGAGCGCATGCCCGACGACTGGAATCTTAGTGTGCTGTGCCCAATCCACAAGAAGGCGATCCCGCCATTCGCGCCAACTACCGCGAAATCAGCCTTCTAAGCGTAGGTTATAAGGTCTTATAGAGTGTGTGGTGCGAAAGACTGCAGCCCATCGTACGCGAACTGATTGGACCTTATCAGTGTGGCTTTAGGCCTGGCAAATCCACCATAGATCAGGTTTTCACAATACGCTAAATCTTTGAAAAGACCCGCGAGGATAGGATCGACACACACCATTTATTTGTCGATTTCAAATCCGCTCTCGACAGCACGAAAATATGTTGTCTTTATGCCGCGATGTCTGAATTTGATATCCCCGCGAAACTAATACGGCTGTGTAAAATGACGGTTTATTTGGGAACCAGAATTAACACCAATAATAACGTCAGCCTTGGAATCCAATGGAGAATCACTCTTGCCAACAAGAGCTACTTTGGACTGAGTAGGCAATTGAGAAGTAAAGTCCTCTCTTGTCGTGCAGAGATCACAATCTAAAAGCACTCATCATGCCTGTGCTACTATATGGCGCGGAGGCATGGACCATGTTGTTGTTGCTGTTGTTGTAGCGGCTACTCTCCCGAGGCAGATGAGATGTGTGCCTAGAACGGCATTCACAGGTCTGGAGTCTACATGACTCCAGACTGACTCCCTGTGAATGCCGCTCAGGCCCTGTCGATAAGCTGACTTCGTCCGTCAGTTCGTATAGATGCCTTCTGACATGCCTTGGCGAGGGCTTCTCTGCAAGCAGGTGTCTGTTCGGATGCCCACGTCTGTGGCTCCCTACTAAGAATTGCTTGCAGAGCATTGTGTTTTGCTCCTTTATGGGGAGCAGTTTCGCCTCGTTATGCAGGTGGTGTTCTGGTGCCACCAGAACACATGCAGTCGCTGCCCGAAGTGCAATGTTTTGAGTCGTCTGCAGCTTCATCCACTGCGTCCTACTAATCCCCGGCGACGACACCAGTGCTGCGTAATTTAAAACCGGCCGGCTTATTGCCATGTATGTTGCCAACAACGGTTCTTTGTCTTTTCCCCAAGTACTGACGGCTAGCGACTTGAGGACCTTGTTGCGGCTCTGTACTTTGTTGACAATAGCGGTTGCGTGCACAGAGAAGGAGAACAGACTGTCGAAGGCTACACCGAGTATTTTTATTTTTTTATTTATTTATTTAATGAGTTATAGTCTAGAAAATATGGAACAAATTTCGTTACGGACTATTTACAAATTAACAAAGAACAATATACTAATAACTAGGTAAATTAATCCATTCAATACCAACTTAAACTTATCTTTCGGCAGAGAGAAATCATAGCTATAGTATTTGGGAACGTATTATACTCATTCAGGGCCCTAGCTATAGGAGAATTAGATGCGTAAATTGTTCGAACTCGATCTAATACAAACGTGCCATGATTCCGCAGGTTTCTAGAGGGGATATTAAAACGAATATGCTCGAGTAAATATGGCGAGTCAATCGCTTCACGCATAATGTCAAAAATAAATGTCAATGAGAGAATAGTTCTTCTACTGTTTAAAGCAGTGTCCGCCAAAAAGAGAAGTCTTAAAATGAGAATGTATTAGTTATGAAATAAAAAATGAGAATGTGTTGGTGGTAATGCACGGAAATGCGTCATCAACCTGCTTCGCCTATTGTTTGCATGCAGCTAAATAAAATTTGTTGCTCTGCTACTCTTTCTGTTGACGTTCGGATTGTGTACGTGTAAGAAGCCGATTGTGTACATGTGAAAGGCCGAATATAGTTCGTTTCCCAGGAAAGTGTTTGGCGGTCACTGGTTTAAAGACTTCAAGTTAATTAAGAGACATCTCGAATAATTATAAGAAGGGAACGGATCATGAAAATGCAGAGGCGAATGGCAAAACGAACAAAAACTTTTTTAACACGCTCGAGCCGATTTACAGGGCAATCATAGTAAGGTCTCCAGATGAAGACAGCATATTCCAACTTGGAACGCACCAGAGACGTGGACAGCAACTTTAGGGTGTAAGGATTTGTGAATTCTGTACTGAAACGGCGAATGAAGGCAGGCGTGGAATATGACTTAGCGATAACATATGCAGTTAAAATGACTAAGCAGTAACGTATGTCGTTAATAAAAATTACAAATAGTAGAGGGTCCAGAACGCCACCTTGCGGTACACCAGAAGACGCAGTAAAAGAATACGAGTAAACATCATCCACAGCTACAACACAACTCCGAAAAGATAGGTAGGGCTCCGCCCAAGGCAGAAAGCTAGAATGAAAGCCCCGATTAGCTAGCTTACACACTAAGATTGAATCGTTGACTTTGTCAAAGGCTTTCGAAAAGTCAGTATAGACGGTACCAACCTGTGCTTGATTGCGAAAAGCCGACAGACAGACTTCAGAAAAAACGCAAGATTAGTTATAGTTGACCTGCCCGGCATGAAGCCATGCTGATTAATTGAGATCAAACTCTTGACAGCAAAGTACATCTTTTCCTTAACTATGATTTCG